ACTCAAAACAACCATTGATGCACTCAACAATAAAGCTATTTCAGTCATCAAAATTAAGCATTCTTTACTCCCTCAATGTCATATTTTAGAAACTAACAAAATTGAAGCATTTCTTCATATTCTGGTTGTTCATAGAAACAACCCCCAATTAGGGGTGAGTAGTCGATCGAGTGTAGTCGAAATTTTTTTATTTAGTCGAGTTGACGAGTCATATTTTATAACTCATACTTATTTGAATTTTTTTCGAGTCGAGTGTGTTATCGAGTTTGTTTGAATTATAAATATTTACAGCAATATATTACTAATTGATTCAAATAAAAACATATATATATATATATATCTTTTAATTTTTTTCATTTGTGATATACAAATATTATGCAGAATTGATGGATTCAACTCGAACTTGAAAAAACCAACCAAGAAACACTAAAATATTTTGAGCTATTTGAATCCTATTTCATAAGTCAAACTTTATTTGCAAGTTTTTCGAATAGAGTCATTTATGAAATTACGAATCGAGTGAAGTCTTTTAACATAGAATCAAACCAAAAGATTCAATTTTTTTCAAATCAAGTTGAATTTTGCCCAACCCTAACCCAACCTCAATTCGGAAAACATTGACACTCCCACAAATGACTGACCTTTCTGCAGTCAGCGACCGTAGTACACAATGGTTTCTCAACTAGCACATGATGGGGTTAGGATGAGTCAAAATATCCATCAGAATCTGAAAATGAGTCATATTAGGGCTTGATACGACCACCACATCACATAGCCCACTGTCCAGTAGCTCTGGTGCCCCGAAAACCTTAATGTGAAGTATACAAACAACCCAAATCACTATCCTTTATATCAAAGGCTTACAATCTTGTAATCTGAAAGAAAAATTTAGAAATAATTTGCACTTGAACAAAACCAACTTAGTGGCCAATCAAAGGATTGAGCCAGTTCCAAGGCGAGTTGCTGAGAGGGGATGTGAGGATCAGCTATGCAAACAACGACCACTCCTTGGCTTCTAAGATGGTGAAGATTAATGAGATGCTCTCTCCCCATCATCCCTACTCCGATGATTCCATACTTCACTGTTTCACAGGATGCCATGCTTGGAGTTGGAAGCCTTGAACTCAACTTCGGAATCTGTTTTTTTTATATTCGATTTGGGAGTAGTAGTTTCAATTTCAAGACTTGAGTTGTTTATGATTCCATGCTCTACGGTGGCTCGCTTGGCGCCGTTCTTCTATCTCCGGCCTTTCAGCTTTTCAAATTGGGTCCGGTCGTTTTTATCAAATGGCATCTATCAAGTTTTAACGATAATGTCAGCAAAAATAAAAATATTAAGAAAATGTACAACATAATTTATATATTTTTAAAATCTAATTATGCAAAATTTTAAATTTAAATTTCATATATCTAAAAAAAAACTACCTAAAATTCTAAAAGAGTTGAGAAATTATAATTATTAATATTAAAATTAAAATACAAAAAATAAAATTTTTGTATTGTATTTTTAGAAATTATAAGTAAAAGACCCTTAAATTTTTTAAATATCCTCAAGTCTTAGAATTCCTTATCCAAACTTAAAATCAAATCATAAACATAATGATGTGGACAAATGCACGTCCAGTTCTCTCATCTACCCCGAACCATCACAAGTATTAAAATATAAGATGAATTTGGATATAAATATATATAGATTCATTTTTATTTATGATATGATTTGGATTTTGGACAAGATGTTTGGCCTTTGATTCTTCTAATAAATTTTAACAAATTCCTTTTTGGAGTTTTATGTTACTTTTTTTTTATTTTCCCGAAATATCATAATTTGAATTTTGTATAGTCCAAAAAAGTAATGATTGCAAAAAAGAAAAAAAAACTCAGGTTTTTAAATCTTTTAGATTTTAATTTTTTTTAAAATCATAATATAAGTGTAAGAATAAATTATAAAATTTTAGATTTTTATATTTAAAAATATCTTTTAAATATTGTTAAAAAGGTTCAATAGGTCAGTTAGATGTTAACCATTGAGTTATAGATTATGTCATCAAGCAAGACTAAAACGTTACAAATTAACAATCTTAATGACCACTTTGTAGTGGTTTTTTATAGTTTTGATTGAATATCAAAATGTTTAATACATGCTTTGTCCCTTCACTATAGACAATTTCTCTGTTTGGTCCCTAAAGAATTTTTTCTATCAATTTTTTCTTTATATTTTCATCTCGTTTAACATATTACTTATTTCGTTTTTTATTTATATTATTAATGATTAAGTGATCTTTGATATAATTTATTATAAATATTTTTTTAAAATGAAGAAATTTCTAAAATCAAACTAAAAAATACCCACCATAACTAAAGCAACATCCTCAATAGTACATCACATGTTTACTTGACATAATTACCTCAAACATTAAATATAAATTTCATCCATTGCATACTATTACCACTTCTATTATTGGAGTCTAGAATTTGGAGAGAAAAATAAAAGGATTTTAAAACAAATTATGAGGCTTTGATGAATTTAAGTATAACTAAAAGATAAGAATAAAGGAATTCAATAAGCTAATCTGTTTCCATTGCTATGGAATTAACGTTACATTAATAAATCAAACAACAATGAACTTTGCTGCCTTATATTTTTATTTAAACTAATATCTGTATTTAATTTATAATAAAATTAGTTTTAAATATTGATTTATTTCAATACAAAAATATTTGAAAGTGAAACTAATTTAGATATTTTTAATCTTAAAAATAACAATATGAATTGGGTGAAAACCGAAGGAAATTGCTTTGCAATATGAAAGAAAAAAAAAAACTAGGGGGTGAAACTGTATAGAAAGGGACCATTAGCCTTCCTCAGTTCCTCTCAGAATACAGCAATAGTTTACCCAAATCCACGACCACTGAGATCTATAAAAATCCTTCTTGCCTACTCCCTAGCATCCTAGCATGAACAAACTTCCACCTCCCTATTCCCGTAGCTCTATCCTTTCTAACAAATCCATTCACCCTTAAAAAACAAATGGATAATACAATGGACGAGAAGCAAACTGGTCTGGATGTGATGATATAGGCCTGTCAAGAATGAAGAACTTACGTCATTCAAGGCCATTTGGTCTTACCGGAAGTCAAAAACAGGATCTATAAGGATCCATTACTATTCCTCATAACCTATCTTCTGTACCTAAGAATTTTAGGGTTGGACAGTACAAAGACAGACTTGATAGCACTCTTAAGGGAAAGGACTCAGTTTGTAGGTGAAATGGAAGACTTGGAACTAATCCTTGAATGTCATTTATTCTTACATGGCAATCATGGATATCCAACTCACTTCAGCACCATTACGGATACAAATTTCGGGCCTCCCTCTACAATACCTTTAGCCGCAAGATGCAAATATTATTGTCAATGCAGTGGAAGATGTTTAGGAGATATAATGACAGAATAATTTCCCTACGAACATCAGTTATCTTCTAGTTGAAGTACGGGTAAATTCGTGGCTACCCTTGTTTGCTAGCTACTTCATTGAGAATGGAGACAAAGCCAGAATCTGGATCAATTTAGAGATGGAGTTTGTAAGCTGTGCAGACACTCTGGAAAGCTAGGTCACACCTTACCAAACTGTTCTATTGATAACAGATAAGTTGAGAATATATTGAGGATTAATAGAACGCTATAAGAAGATTTGGCTATGAAACTTGATTAGATCTATTTGAAATTTTATTTATCAATTCTATACTACCTTATCACTGTAGAAGCCACCCCAAAAATTTGATAGTGTATTATCCCAACCCTGAGAAAGTTCATCTAGATTCGGTCAAGCACTTAGAATTGCCTGAGACATAACTAGCTCTTTTACTAGTAATTATAAATGCCCGAGACATAAACTAGTTCTTTTACAAGTGATAGTTCCCCCATGGATGTTCCCTGATGATCCTGCACAAACATGCCCTTGCCTATGCTCCACCAGCATCATTCTTAAATCTCACAGTGAACAATGACTCCATCACCTAAACCACAAATGCCCAAGGAACCATTGCACTACCACGTGCCATTGCAATTAAACTCCAATGAACCACAATAGATCTCCCTACAAATGTATCATCAACTCGGGTACCACCGCAAAGTTGCTACCATGTCCTACCAATAGTCCAATACATAAACTAGTAGATAAAGGGAACATATTCTTTTGCTACTATTGCTAAAATCTATAGCTCCATTGTCAATCTACAACAGTTCGGTTCAGATGAACCACCAGTACATAAACTAGTCACTAGTGAAAATAGTAAATCAAGGGAATATATTCTTTTGCTACTATTTCAATAATATATCGTCCATTGTAAAGGAATTGTAAATCTAAAAATTCAGTTCAAATGAACCACTGCAAAGGTGCTAGCATGTCCTATCGATAGACCAGTACATACACTAGTGGAGTAAAGGAACATGTTCTTTGCTAATTGCTACTACTCTTAACATGAAACATATACTCCCAAATAATGGGTCAATTTAATCATTCAAACAATCTCTAATGAATGCATCTTATCATAAACAAGTTTGACATCAAGAAAATGAATTGGAAACAAAGGAATTTTTTAGATAGCTCTAGAACCGGCTCTAAGCTAATTTGTAATGCCAAAAAATGTCCTTGTTTGGTTAATCCCACCGGCAGACCATGCTTATAGTGATATACATATAACTAAGCATATCCACCCAAAATTCCAACCAAAGAAAAACGTAAGATGCAAGCTTTTTTCCAGTCCATGAAACACACAACAGAGACCCTATCAAAATTCCATTTTCATCACACGCCACATGAAAGGAAGAACCTATAGATGTTCCGGAATGGAAATGCAGCTACATGATGGATGCTAGTGACAATATATACCTAATCAAATGCATATATATATATATATATATAAGAAGACTTTCATAAACTCAAATTAGTAGCAAGACAACCAATATCATAGATTTGATATATTTCGTTGCTACATTGGCAACCTAATCAAAATCCATATTTTGAACAAAACAACACATTTCATCTTTTAAACTTCAATTAATACCCAAACAACTAACACAAAATAGGACTGAGGGTTTTATAAGCCATTGACATTTTTGTATCTGCAGGTCATTCGAGGCCTTCTTTCAACACTTCCCTCAACTTCAAATTTAAACCATCAATTTCGTGTAAAAAAATATCTCTCTTCAACCAATATCTCTATATTAAAACTTTGTTCCTGAAATGACAATACCAAACATAAATACCAATTTGTCATGTAAATGAAATACACTTCTATCCAAACAAAGTCCAAAGTTGTTAAATCTCCAAAACTGAGAAATTAAGAAACGAACCTCAATTAACACTAGATCTAATTGGACAACAAGTGATTCAAATTGAGAAGGGAAAAATGGTAATCTCTTTAAAGGAAATGGAAATGTAGCATTTAAGTAAAGGCACACCTACGTCTGTTTGGAATAAGAGGAAGAGGAAGGGACACGTTTGTTACGGAACATCATGTATCCCACTGGCAATACGACTCCGATCATCATGACCGTTGCTCCGATGATATATCTTAACGGACTCGGCGGTTCAACCTCTATCATTGTTTTGAACTGCACCGCACGCAATCATAACCTAAGATTAACTATCAATTGAATATAAAATTTGAACAACAAAAACAAAACAGAATCATCATTGTAAACTTCAAGATCTGGATCAAACCGTAAAAGGAGACTTACAGACATTATTGGGGGTGTTTCCTTTGAGTACAACTCTGGTTCTAAACGCAGGGGATTTGGCTCACCGGCCGCAGAAATGGAAGGAACTAACAGAGAGGAGAATATTTAGGGTTAATTTGAAAAACCTGGATCTGCTGGGTTCGTAATTCTCAGTTGCGAGATTTGGGGTCCGTGGTAACTTTCTTATGCTAAAGAGATACCAAACTGGCAAACTCTGTCAGAAAGGTTCTATAGATTATTTTTTTCTTCTTAGTGTAAAGTTAAAAAAAAAATCCTTACACAACACTTAAATAATTTATTAATAATTAATTTTTTTTTAAAATTATAAAAATACATTATTTAAATACATTTTATTGGATTGTTATTATCCAATATCCATCGAGTTTTTAGGTTTTAGCACGTTACTTAAGAGTTTTTCAAACAAATATTAATGGTATTTATATCAAATTAATAAAAAAAAATTTGTAAATTTATTTGGATAAATTACGTATTTAGTCAATCAACTATTACTTTAGTTCTATTTTATCACTCAACTATTTTTTCAAAATCATAACTAACGTTATATTTTGGTCACTCTTTGTTAGGTTCAATCATTGATTTAATGAAAATGATGATATGACATGATACAATAGCAATTCTAATTCTCAAAATTTACATATTATATCAATTTGATCATAATACAAACTAATTCAGTAAAATCTTCAAACGTTTAGGGACTTATTGTATGAATGTCCCATTTACTTTTTATTTCAAAACTTTTACTTGAATTCTTCGATCAACCACGTCGTTGTCATAATCTTCATACCCTAACCAGAAATCGTCGGTTTCATTTCCGCTATATCGAAAACCGTCTACCATAAGTCAACGTTGTCTTTCACGAATCTCTCTCTAACATTCTTGACTTTAAAATCTAACCAGACATCAACAAATACCTTTACTATACAGACACCGCCTTACCACCCCTTTAAACCTCACCTCGACGAAGATCCAAACCACGCCTTTGATTGCCTCTGCGTCACCAAGTCTCCTGTGACCCTCTGTCCTACATTCGATCAACTTGAACCCCAATAACCCCACATGACACACCACACCATACCGCACTTGAGCTTGCACACACCGCCCCTCTGGACCTAAGCTTGCATACAGTGTAGCCACCAATTAAAACTTTGAAATTCCCTTTGAAATCATAAACTAAAACCCTAATTCTCACTAATGCAATCCCATTAAAACCTTAAATTGCCGTTGAGAGCTAAAATTGAAAACCCAAAAAAGGGGTAAAAACAAAATATATAATTAAAAATGCAAGACTAACACTTTAATCTAAAAAAAAATGGGTAAGAAATATAACATTATAAGATTTTAAGGACTAAAACTACAATTACATCATACTATATTAACATCATAGTTAAATTTTTAACCGTAGGTGACCAAAACATAATCAAAAAGTAAAATTACATTTATTTTTAAAAAAGTAATTAAAAATAGAATAAAAATAATAATTAAGATACTAAACATGTAGTTTTAAAAAATTAATACTTAAGCCTTTACGTAAAAATACTTCCGTTAATAAAAAATCATAAATAGCAATAAATACATAACCTGATAAAAAGTACATTTAAGTCAAAATTAACCACAACGACTATGTTCTAGACCTGTCATATTTATAAATAAAAAAATTATTAAATCAATTTAACTCTATCAAATATCTTCAAAAGATTAATATATATGAATGATGAACGAAATTTCTTTTCAAACATATCTTAATAGATCTAAGGGTGCGTTTGGTTCATGGAATGTAAGATTACCAGTAGGAATAAAAGATTATCAGGGAATAGGATTACTGGGAATGTTGTATTTTGTGTTTGGTTGGTTTAGCAGGAATGTAAGATTACCGTGTTTGGTCAAAGGAATAAAAGATTATTGGAATGTATATTTGACCAAATTGTCCTTATTATATATTTGTATAATATTACAAATTGTAAAATATTTATATATTTTCTTTAAAAAATTAAATTCATAATATTTATATAATTTTTTTACAAAATTAAAAATATAAAAAATGCTTAATAAAAGGGTAAAAAAAATTTAACCCCTAAACTTCATATAAAATTTTAATTATAGACTTTTTTTGTAAATCTAAAATAATTTAAGGATAAATTTATAATTTAACCTTCGTAGAATTTTTATTATTCAATGACAGAAGAAGGATATTTTTGAAAAAAAAATAAAAATTTAAGGGCATTTTAGTCCAAAATGCCGGTAATGTTACAATACCTAAGGGAATGGAGGTAATGACATTCCCGGTAATATACCCCAAAAAATCTACTATTGGTAATAAAACATTACCGGGAATGAGATTCCCAGCCAACCAAACATGGGAATGTAGGATTCCCATCCCATGGGAATCCCACATTCCTTGAACCAAACACCCCCTAAGAGTATATAATACGCAAATGATCCCGATTATATGATATTATTTTGTTGGGTATTTTGATTATTAAAAGTTATAAAATAATTTTTTGACTATAGGATAATGATTTGTTGAGTCCCTAAACTATTAGAAGTTATAAAATGATTAATCGGTTATTCATATGTTCTAAACTCGCTTTTTTGGCTAAAAATAACGATAATATGAGTTGGACGTTAATCTGTTGACTGAGATATAGTAAAATTATATTTTAATGATGTCTACTAGCACTGTCGTAACTTTCAAGCACTAGCTTGACGTCGTAACTTTCAAGCACTAGCTCGACATCATAATGTAAATAGAGATTTGATCCACAAACACACTTCAAACAATTTTGATATTAGATTTTATTATATTCCAATAAGCAAGTTAATGTCCAACTCATACGACTACCAATTTGTTAATATAAAATGACGAATTTGAAACATATGAATAGTCGAGTAATTATTTTGTAACTTTTAATAGTCGAAAGATTCAACAAAACAACACCTTATAATTAAGGGACCATTTTGTATCTTTCAATAGTCACCTACTTAACAAAACAATGCTCTATAATTAGATATAATTTATATACTTTACCCTAAATCTAAACTCTTTATTTATTATGATAAGTTTTATGTATTCTTTATCATATAACTAAAAATTATAAAAATAGTGAACATAAATTGAAAATACTTAAATCTTAAAAATTAAATTAGAATGATTATTCTTTTACTCTCTTAAAATAAAATTTGGACAAAAATATCCCATTAAACAGTGTTTTTCCGAACAAAGAACCTTACAAATCTTATGACCAAATATGACGGACTTCTTTGGCAAATCATTTACTGTTAACAAATAAAGCAATCAAACAAGACAAAATTGATCACCAAACCCACGTACTTTAGCCTTGTCACTATAAATTATGTCCCAACCATAACTAGGCGAAATCCAAGCCTCTCGTTGGGACCAAATATTTCCTGCATTTTGCCTTTACCGTAGGGATATAGTCATATAGATTATAGAATGGTACAACATCTCCAAAATATAATTTCTGATATCATTGTTATTTTAGTGTTAGTTTAAGACATTTTTAATTTATAATGTTATTATGTTTAACCTACAAATTTATATAAATTTGTAATTTTTTGTTGCAACTGAAAAGTTAAATTACGAGCATTTAGGACTTATAACTAAAAATATTATGAAGAATGTAATATTTTCGATTGCAACATGTCTTACCTAAAAAATTAAACTCTTAATAAGATTTTCGATTGTAATCGATTTACACCGTATTTTAAACATGTATTAGCGAGTTGTATTTTAGAATTTCCTCGCAATGACAATGAATAATTAAAAAAATTGATATGACTTCCCAACTACTACGTGCTGCTTTCATTCGAATCCATCATGCAATATAAATTAGGTACATTCACAATCCACGTGAAGCATTATGTGACAATGGAGTCATGTAGAGGTAATTTGAAAAGGGTTAGAGATAGGGATGGGCATGAGACCCGAACTTGATGTGTTTCGACCCGACCCGACCCGGCCGAGTCGGATTTTTTTAAAAAAAATTGGGTTCGGGTTGACTTAGGTTAGATTCGGACTTAAAATGAAAAATACTCAACCCGGCCTGACAAAAAAATATAATTTTACCTTATATATTTAGGAATAATTATAATAATACATCTCTCTATATATATATTTTCCAATTAAATCATTGTTTTTAGTTTTTATTGAATAAAAATATTTTTTATTATTTCGGGTCCAGTCGGATCGGGTTCAGATTTTATCTCAAAAAATCGGGTCGGGTAGAGTTGGCCGAAACCCGACCCATGTCCATCTCTAGTTAGAGATTATAAATCGAATTTTATTTGTTTAGATTTTAAAAGTTTACGGTATAACTTTTTGGTGAAAAAAATTTGAGATAAAAATATAAAGATTCTCGGATCCCTCGTATTACGATACAAGTTTAACGTCGAGGATTTAATGTTCGAACACTTACATATATACATACATACTTATGATTCTTTTAGGATTAACATGTTTTCATCGCGTAGTATTTTCGTGTATCATAATAAAATTTTCTCTTCTGCTGGTAATTTATCGTATCAAGAGGTTATCAAGTAAATTTATACGTTAATATTTATTTTCTTTTTTATTTACGATCGATTATTTGCTATTATCTTCCCTAATTTTGTAACCAGAAATGTTCCAATGCATTTTCAGGTAAGGCACCTTAAAAAAATTAAGGTGAGTCGTTTTTGTTATTTCATTTGTAAATTAGCATCTCCAAAATTAATAAATTTCAATTATACTCCAAACTCTATAGTCATACACGTGAGAAAGTCAAGTGGCATCGCTGGTAAAAGGGAATATTATTTTTTCTAGAGATATTGGGTTTGAGCAACTACGTTTGCAAAGTGTGTGTGCGTTGTCAATAGATTCGACAACATGCAGGCGAGTAAAGACTAACAAGATCAATGGAGACTTGGAGAGTAGCCACATACTTTAGAAGCCAACACTAATTTGCAAAATTTCTCATACTCGAATTCTAACTGGGGTAAAAAAAAATCAGACAGGAAAAAAAGGACAAGGTGAAACAACTCCTCACATTGAATGCACTCAACAACTCTGAAGGTGATCATCTAAAGCAGGCAACTACCTGGTCCCATCGGGGAGGGAAAATTTTTGCCTTGTTTACTTCACAATCTTATGTTTGAACATTTATGTTTCGTTTGAATTCAATTACTTCCATTTTGATGAGCCATCTCTCTTGAGTTTGGTTACTTTTATTACAACTTCATCATATAACATTTGCCAGGAAGTTTGTTTTCCTTATCACATTTGAATGTTTTTAAACGAGGAATATGTAAGTTTGAATAGTGTATAGAGTTGCGGACATACAAGAAATGGGTGGTTTCCGATTAGATCAGGAAGAAGGAGCTGCAACAGCAGGAGGAAGAAAGAAAGAGACTGAAGATTCTTCTTGGTCAACCAATCCACATATTCAGGCTCAACATAGGCGTTCCAAGAGGTGATCTTCACATCTTACTAGTTTCTAACGCTGTTTTTCTCGGCTTGTTGTCTAATAATCAACAGAGAATGGAGTTCTTTAACCATGTCAATTTGTATGGAGTTTTGAGGGTTTATTTTTCTTTGTACTTAACTGTTGTTTGCTTCTTCTTCTTTCAATTCTCTATGGTATTGCCTTCACTTGATAAGCAAGTGGAAGATTTGGGATCTTGTTTTTTTTTCAGTGCGTCTGACAGAAATATCGATGTTTCGAGAGATGGAGTTTCGAATCTTGCTAAGAAAGAGCTACAAGTGAGGATACATTTTCTGGCTTCAAGCTTTTCCAATGCTTACATTTTAGAATTATGAATGCTTCTTTATTTGTGATTTACCCTTTTATTGTTTTCTCAAATGTGAAAAGATGCAGGCATCTCCATTATCGACAAGAGTTTACAGGAATCGAAGTCCTCTTCATGACAGCTGCGCTGATGGAAACCAGATTACATCGTTGAACCAGCGAGCCTCATTAGAGAAAGATGTAAGCCTTGAAATAAGACGTTTTCCTTTGATAAATGACGCAGAGATGAATCAATGTGTATCAACTATAGTGCTAAATTATGCATAACCTGAGAAGGCCAAACCCTTTTAATTCAACTTCTGTTGGGACAGGAAATGGATAATGACCCTCTATGTATTCTATAAGAGACTTGCCATGTGCACATAAACAATGGATCAATGGCTTCTTAATGCTGAATAGCTGTATAATATGTCTCTTTGCTGCATAAGTTTCAACAATAGCATTACCATGGTTTTCCCATTTTCAGATAGAACTTCTGCAATTACATCTGCAACAAGAAAAATCTATGCGACTTATGCTTGAGAGAGCGATGGGGCGGGCTTCAAGCACTTTGTCTCCAGGACACAGGCATTTTGCTACACAGGTAACATTATTTCTGTGTCGTCGATGAAAACCGAGCCTCGTCAAATATTGTGATGTTTTTTCTCCAATATTTGTTTAATCAAACAAGAAACTCCCACATTGTTTGACTTGCAATGTAAAGGTGTGTGTTCTGTTTAACGTTCAACGTGTGAGTTTGGAAAAGACACTCTACCTGAAAATAACTTGACAACTACTGGTTAATTTCAGACAAAGGAATTGATTGCAGAGATCGAGTTACTCGAGGAAGAGGTCTCGAACCGTGAGCAGCATGTACTATCTCTCTACAGGAATATTTTTGACAATTGTGTTAGTCGGCAACCTTCTGAGCAGAGCTCAGGCAAGGCCTCTCCTGCCCATATGAAGCATACATCGAGGAAACACCCGAGTATTATTTCTAGTGCGTTTTGTTCTTCGAAAAAGTTCCCTCTGAGACCTTGGCAAGCTCTAGTTTCCACAAATGACTCTGGGAAAAGAATCTCTAGTATTGATGCTTCACAGTTTTGTGGAAAAACTGACATTCTATTTGACAGGACATCTTTACACCTAGTTAAGGTAAAAAAAAACATGGATACTCATTTTCTTTACAATATTAAACTCCAAGATTGTGTTCATGTGGAAAGACTACGCATTTTGTATACAATATATTACTGTGTGCATCATATGGCTTATCCGTCATATATTGTCGGTCATGTATGCTGTCCGGATGTTCTTATTCCATGCATTTCCAGGCTCATGAAAAGATTCAAGGTATTGAAAAAACCTCGGTGTTACGAACTCTGAAAGACCATCTTCATCAATGTCCAAGCAAGCTGTCGGAGGAGATGGTCAGATGTATGGCAGCAGTATATTGTGGACTTCGTAGTGCAACATCTTCGAATTCTGAGAAAAATCTATGGCCTTCGTTGTCAAGGTCATCAACTAAGGTTGTACTTCCCACACGCGGCGTTGGAGAGGACCAGGGTTTCTCTTGCACGTCCAATGTTGAAATATCTTGGATATCAACTGATAGGAACCGATTTTCTCGAGCATCTTATGCCATTAGTAACTACAGGTTGGTTAGAGAAATACTGTGTTTTAAGGAAATTAAGATACACATTGCAGCATAAATCTTGTTGGAAACTCTTCCCTAAAAAAAAGAAGCTTAAGAAAAACTTCTGCTATGTTTATTTCTCGTGCATTACTTTGTCGATTTCAGAGCTCTAGTGGAACAACTAGAAAAAGTGACAGTGAGTCAGATGGAATATGATGCCCAAATTGCATTCTGGATCAATGTGTACAATGCCCTTGTTATGCATGTAAGCTTAAATTTATTTACCAGCTCTTTCATTGTCTCTTTCTTTTTACTATCATGAACTCTCAAGTTTTCCTTGTGCAGGCATATTTAGCATATGGAAGTCCCCACGGTTCCTTGAGACGGTTAGCCTTGTTTCACAAGGTAGTCCTTTACTTTATCTAAATCAAAGACAATTTAGGCAGGCCACATTTTGTTTCTAGTAATTCTGATTTCTGGTGTTTCCTGGAAGATGTGGAGTGGATGCATCTTCGACATTTTTTCGTTATGATTTAATCGGCTATTAGATGATGAAATCAATAGTTTTTTTTTCTGTATAGTGCAGGCTTCATACAACATAGGTGGCCATGTCGTAAGTGCAAATGCCGTAGAGCAGTCGATATTTTGCTTCCGTACACCTCGAACCGGACGGGTATAACATTTACCATCTAAGGTAATTAAGACACAAATTGCCAGTTTCCTGATATTCAAATGTTTGATCTGTTTTTACCAGTGGCTAGAGACAATCCTCTCCACAGCCTTGAGGAAAAAATCTGGTGAAGAAAGGCAAATTATCAGTTCAAAATTTGGTCTTTCATATTCCCAACCACTTGTCTGCTTTGCTCTTTGCACTGGAGCTTTTTCTGATCCAGTGGTAATTTCTGCTTCTTTTTTACATTGTATTGCACTAGGATTTCCAATGATTTTCATCTCAAAGTCATATTACTCCAACTAACCTGCCCTCTGCTCATCTTACACTTTGTAGCTAAAAGTTTACACGGCATCGAATGTTAAACAAGAGCTAGAAGCTGCAACAAGAGAGTTTCTCCAAGCAAATGTAGTTGTAAAGAAGTCGAAGAAAGTATTTCTACCCAGAGTTCTTGAAAGGTTTGCGAAAGAAGCCTCAATCGGCTCGGATGATCTACTGAACTGGGTTCTCCAAAACGTCGACAAGATGCTCCACAATTCGATACAGAAATGTATGGATGGCAAATCCAAGAAGAAACCATCGCAGGTCATTGACTGGTTGCCTTATACCTCAAGATTCGGGTACGTTTTCTCGAAAGACTTGACAGAGAAGCTATGGCGGGCATAACTTCGACTCTTGGACGACAGGCGCCGGGGAGGTATCGGTCACCTTCACTTGTAATTCAATGTCAAATTCATTGAACATTCTAATCTATAGATCATTTAACATATATTCTGCTTGATCTAGAGCTAACACCTTCGCAGAAGTAGGAACCGTCTGCCAAATTTAGCTCTGGGATTATGATAAGCCTTGAATTTTGGTGTAGAATATAAAGTTTGATTCTAAACTTCTTTGCTATATACATATTTACACTGTAATTATGTAATCTTCTTTACTTTTAATTCCTAGAGCCAGATCGTTAACAACAGCTCATATCAGGTGCCGACATGGTACAATGAAATTGGCCATGTCAGCATTAGTGATTTTTAATTTTCTGTATCCGATTTACGATTATATTCTCTCCTTGAAAACATAATATGCTTCATTAATGCACTCACCATTTAACCATTGAAATCTAATCCCAAATTTCGACATCAACACTATGCTTCGAACTCAACGTACTGTGTGTGTTTTTAATGTAAATTTAGGCCATAATTTAATTAATTTGTGTATATTCTTTACATTTCTAGTAATGATATATATATATATATATGTGAGGAGTTGAATTTTTATATGGAAATAGTTGGTAAAATTAATTTTAGGGTAAAAATCACAAATGGTTCCCAAACTATAGAGCGTTGTTTTATGGAGTCATCCGACTATTAATAATTATAAAATGGTTACATGGCTATTCATATGTTCCAAATTCATCATTTTCGGTTAAAAATTTTGTGGTTGTTTGAGCTAGCAGTTAACATGTTGATTGATATATGATAAAATCTGATTACATAACCGTTTGAGTTGTATTTTGTGGATCAATTTTTCGTTTACATTATGTCGTCGAGCCAGTGGTTGAAAGCAACAATGATACCAATTGACATAATTAAAATATGATTTTATCATATTTCAGTCAGCAGGTTAACGTCCAACTTAGACGTTCCCCAATTTATTAACCAAAAAAGATGTGTTTGGAACATCTAAATAGTCGGGCAACCATTTTGTAACTTTTAATAGTCGGGAGATTTAACAAAATAATGTCCTGTAGTCAGAGATTATTTGTAACTTTTAACAGTCGAATGACTCTAAAATAATATCTTATAGTCGAGGGATTATTTGTTTAATTTTATGAGTTTCTAGTAAGTATATGTTATGTATGTTCATATTTTCATGTAGTGCTCAAATATGTCAACCTCTTATTTGAGCTAATTTTGATTTGAACATTGACACATATGTTTTATTTGACTACAAAAACTAGTTTCATAAAGTAAAAATACCAAAAATGTATAATTGGTTAAACAAAGAAGTGTTTTTTGAACTAAAAATTATATGAAAATGCTTTTATTTGTTTAACCCTTTATTTCAAATGCATTTTAGGATTGTGAATATAAATTTTTAATTATTTTTATGTCTAATTGATATAAGAATTGATCTCTTATCGTCTATATATTTTTTAAATAAGTTTAAAAACTTTTAAAATGACACTTTTAATATTTCTTTGATACTAGATCAAAAGTACCAAAATTAGATAAAGAATTTTGACACTGTTCTAAAATAGGAGGTTCGAAACTATTGGATGAATTTCAGAATTCTCCTTTAAATTTTGATTTTCTACAAATTTGTCCTTTAATCATATCTTGACCAATCGACGTCCGTTTGGTTGTGGTTTATATTGAAATTTATAATTTTGTTTAAACATGTGTTTAATCACATGATTAGTTGAACTTTATAATTCAATCCCTAAAGTTTAAAAATTTATCAATTGATGGTCCTTTTCAAATTTGATTGACATGGTTTTGTCACTTCAGTGGTTAATATATAATATTCTATTCGACTATACTTCTAGGTTAGGTAAGAGACACTGCACCTTCTATAACGAGACTCAGTTTAAGCTCCATGCGGACTATATCCAACTCGACAAGTATGTGTAGGTTCGAAACAAAATAAAATAGAGCTCGAGTCTAGCAAGCTACAATTTATCAATTGTTGTATTCAACAACAATCATTGGTGTAGTTTATTCTTTTTTTAAATAACGAGATACACATTAAAATTAAAAAATAGGTGGAAAATCAAAAAAGGAACTAGAAAGCTACAATATTTTCTTAACAATTTAACTATGAGATCAAATTTTTAAATTTCAAAATCGTTAGTGATTAAGTTGAAAATTGAAGTTAGGTGATCAAATAGAAATGATTATAAAGTTAAGTGCCCATTTTAGGTAATTCATTTTTAAATCCTTAGTGCATAGTGTAGATTTTATCGGACGTCTAATATAAGCCACGCGTCATATTCCGTAACGTCGAGGGCCATTTGATGTTCGTCATATTTAGAGTTCACTGAACCCCATTTCTTTTTGTTCATTTTTCAAAAGCATCACTCGTTTCGTTTATTTATTTTCTTCAGCGAGAAAAAGAGTCTAATTACATCGGAAATATCTCCCCTCTTTCTCTACTTTGTTTTTTACTTCGATTCAACGGAACCCTAACTCAACCAGCTAGACAATTCAAGATTCTAGTAAGTTGTTCTATTCATTTACTCCGCCGTTAGTTTAGGTTTTTATTCAAATAAAATTTTCTCTTGTTCCTTTTATTTTACCTTCTTCCCCCGTTTGTCTAGTTTGGCTCCTTCTTGTTGCTGATGTTCTTGTTGTTATGGTGTGCTTAAAGTGATATTGTTTTGAATTGGAGTTCTTTTTGGTGCAGTAGATGACCGTACGATTAGGGAGGAGTTGAGATCAAGCGGCCAGGGATTTTTCCACCGAATGGAGGGAGGTAGCGCCTCTAGACTTGCTTACTCTGGTAACTGTTCACATTCCTACTTTGTTTTTTTATAAACAATTTCTGTTTAGGGTTTCGTTTTTTGTTTTTAATTAGAGAACCTGGAAATATTTATCTATCTTCTTGAAGTGGTGAGGTATATTGTTGTTTAAGGTCTGGAACTTAATTTTTGTTATTCTGTGCGTAAATATATTGGAACCGAGTTCTTTTATTAAGTTTTCAAGTTTGCCTCAGTCAATTCTTTTTCCAGTTTCTATTATTTAGTAATAACATTCTAATAGTTAATATGATTGAGCTGGAGGTTTTGTTTAATTCAATTCGAAGTTGACTGATTAATGGTTTCAGCTAGATCTTTGTTTGGAATTAGTTCGTTGTATACTTGCATTAATATCCAAGTGTAACCAACTGATAGTTCAGGAACAAAAATACATGTTTATTTTTATTCTTAAGGATTATTAATGTGTACACTGTAGTGGGTTTGAAAACTCCACAGGTGGCTTTTCACTTGCTATGTTTTGGTTTAACTATATTTGTTAGCCTGATAATGTACTTTTGATTTCCTTATATTGGAGACATGAAAATTATGCACAGGAAGTGTAAATTAAAATTAGTACCATTTCTGCATTTTGTATATCAAGTGAGTGGCATATTTACTCCAAGAGATGAGGTCGGGCTATTCCATGTGAACAGTTTAACTTCTTTTCCCTTCCTTACTCTTCTTTGAACTGTACATTAGTATTCAACTCTACTGGAACTAGTTGGATGGGTAACGTGGATTGTTCTGTTTGTGTAAAGGTTGTAAAGTTTAAGCTTTCTGATGCAATTCATGCTACGACAGGATACACTTTAAACTCAAGAATCCTGATCACTTTGTCTGATTTAACAGTTTGTTTTCTTCCGAACTTTTTCTGTTGTAGGGATACACTCATGGATTATGATGACAATGATTCCCAAAGCCAGAATCTTCATTTAGCTGGTGAAGGAAACAATAAATTTCCTCCTGTTTTGCGGGCATATGATCTCCCAAGATTTGATTTTGATGATAATCTTCGTGGAAATTCAAGATTTGATGGTTTAGTTGAAACTGAAGTTTTTCTCGGTATTGAAAATAGTGAAGATAATCAGTGGATTGAAGATTTTTCGCGTGGGAGTACTGGGATTGCATTTAGTTCAAGTGCGGGAGAACCGTGTTTGATTTCTAGGCGCAACAATGTCTGGTCTGAGGCAGCGTCCTCAGAATCAGTTGAAATGCTGTTAAAATCTTTAGGGCAGGACGAAAATACTCTTGCTCAAACTATTAGTAAGGATTCAGATGCCTGCGATGAACTGGCTTGCATGATAAAGCAGATGGAACCTAGTTTGAAGCACAAAGATAGTAGCCTTTCTAAATTTGATGACATAAAACCTGTTCTACAGACAGGTGAGATTCCCGGAAAATGTATGGGAGACCATCAACTGGTTGAAGATGCTTCTAAAACCCAAGAGAAAGAGCCATCTGTTCATGGGGGATTAGAAGATCCAAATAGCAGAAATACTGGCATACCTTTGATTGAGATGGGCGAGTCTAAAGATGGTAAACAAATTGTTCTTGATGAAACTCGAGCGGAAGCTTCGGTTGATCAGTCTTTGGATTACAGGGGACAGGAAGATAAATTTGCTTCTGGGTCAGAAGTTGATACTGTAATCCCTTCTGTGCAAGGCACATGTTTGAGTGGTGTTTTGATAGATGATCAAGATACCACAGATTTGAAAAATGATATCATTGATAAAAATGTGGACAGTTTAGAGGGTGAAAATGTTGATTTAAGTCCAGAACATCACATTGGTGGTAGGAACTTGATTGATGATACAGTTGCAAGTGTCACCTCGCATGTACAGAAACATTCAGCTTTGGAAATGCAATCTAGGGAAGAAGAACATGCTGTCGGAAACAACACAGTTAATGTGGATGAGCCTTCTGATAGGATATCAGAAGGGAGTTCTTACCTCCATGTGGAAGAATGTAATGAGGTTGTAGGTGTAGAAATTCCTCTGCAGACCGGCAAGTCTGAAGACATTGTTTTGTCAGAAGGAAAACTGCATGACACACCATCAATGCCAGTTGTTATTGATAATACCCTCAAGGAGCATGAAAATGTGGTTATTGATACTGATACTATGCTTTCTAAGGGTCTAGAGTCGGAGGTGAATTCAATGGTGCAGGTAGCACCTGATGCTATTAAGGAGGACTTTTTAGAAAGTGATTGCCACCTAGATAAAAAAATCTTGAGCAGCAAGTCTGAGAAATCTTTGTTGTTAGTGGAAGATGGTAAAGGTTCTAAGGACGAAGATAAAGGTTCTCATGTCACTTTGGTAACTGAACCAATGAGAGTATGTAAAAAATACATTTTCACCGAACATAATGATGATCATAAACGTGATGAAAGTGTTTCAGCTGCTGTTAAGCAGAAAACCAGTTTGCCTTCTGATTCTAGCACTGCAGATTGTTGTGATGATGGATCCCCAGTTGGAACGAAGGGAGTTGATTTCTCATCGTTTGGTGCTGGTGGCAAGGTAAATGAGTTAACGTCAAACCTACAACCTGATGTTGCTGTCAGCAGTATGTCGGGTATGTATTTTCTGAAGCATTATGTCTAACAATTGAGCTTTTATTTCCTTCTTTATGGTTTTGTTTACCCATTCTGTATCACATACTAACATAGTGATTTGGTACAGTGGATTGTGTTCTTTTGCCTTCCGTCATGGATATACCGGCCATTACTGTTTTGGATCAGAAAGAGGTGCAGGTGCCATCTTTAGAAGCAAGTTTCTCGGTCATAAATACCTCTGGAACAACAACAGAAAAGGATGCTTCGTGTGAGGATGGTGAACAGTTCTCATGCAAGAAAGTTGATCAGTCATTGTTAATGGAGGATACCACTACCCTTGAGGGCAAAAGTGGAGACCAGACTCTTTGCAGAGTCACACCGGAGGTTGGAAAGGATATGCACTTACCATCTATGGTCTTTGATTCAGCAGCGAGGAATACTGATGGTGACGAAGCTCAAGCTATATCTAAAAAGGTTTCTACAGATGCTGCAGGTGACCTATAATTTATAGAATATCTTGGTTTACTGTTTAGCTATCATCTCAGCTTAAATTTGAATATAATAAAATTCTTATTAGCTATTTATTTTAGGATTTGTGTGCTAATTATATTTGGTAGTCTTCCATAGCCAGTGCATTTGTTTAATTGTCTGTTTCACTGTTTTCCTGGTTATTATGGTACTGTTTCCTTGGCTCATTCTTTCTGAACTATTTTGTTCACGTGATGATAACTGGTGTTATGCGCTGTTGGTGCTTTACTTTATGAAGCATATCACCTAGCATTTATGATTTAGAAACTCCATAAGGTTAATGTCAGCGAACAAAAAAAATTTCATCAGGTGATGTATCAATTCAGATGGACAAGACGTCGATGAATTCAGTGGCTTCAACTTCAATGGAAACCCCCCATAATGCTGACCAAAATCACCCTAAAGATAATGATTCCAAATTGGTTTCTGAAGAGATCAGTGGTCATGTTGCTGTGCATTATGTTGATGGTTATTTTCTTTATCAGTTTTTCTTTAAGTAATCACAACTTTATTATTTTGTCTGTCACGGTGAATCTCTCCTTTACTGCTGTCCCTAGTCTTTTTCCCTTGTGTTTTTTTTATTTGTTGGGTTGTTTTCTTCTTTTTTTGCCATCCCTCCTGCCTTTCCCTTAGGTTCTTGAGATGGGTCTTTCTATGTTCTTATTTTCTGTATTGTGAAGTTTTATCATGTTCAAGGGTGACTTATATTTTTATTGTTTTTGCATTCTTAGCTTCTTTGATGACTCTATTTTTCCTTTGAGATCATTTCATTAGTTTTTCCTGTTTTCCTCCCACAATTTTCATGTTATTGTTCATGGAATATTTTGCTGCTGCAGTTGATCCTGCAAAGACTTCTATAACTTCCTTTGCACCTTCATCTGAATCTCAAACTAAGTTTCACATGATGGAAAGCGGAAGTGGTAGTGCTGATCTTGACAATCCTTCCTGTGGCTCTCCAGTTGTCATTAGAACTTCTGAGCAGTCACAAAGTAAAATCGAAAATGCAGTTGTGAGAGGATCCAAAGATCAGAGTGCTGTAGTGTCTGGCATCACTAAAAGGGAAGCAAACAAAGAGCAGTCAATTTCTCGGGATACAAAAGGAAATCATGCGACTCCAGGAGACAAAAGTTTCACCTTTGAGGTGCCTCCCTTGTTAGCTGTGTCTGAACAAGAAGCTGGGAAGAATTGGAAGCCTTTTTCAACCATGCAACTTGAAAAAATATCCCCGGTAATTTTTTTAAGTGGTGCATAGGGTTATGTTAAGGTCTTTTTGTTCTAATAATGTCCTGCTTCTCGTCTTCTAGCTGAAGACTTTTAAGAAGTATGATTCTGTTCTTTATTGTTTCATTCTGGTCATGCCCTGCCTTCTTGCACTTGCTCTCTCGCTCTGTCTTGATACAAGAAGGCCGTGGAAGGAACTCCATCAACATCTGGATTAAGCATAGCAGGGCCCGAAGCTGCTCAAGAGACAGGTCGTACAAATCCTCAGGTAACTAAAAGGGGTGATGCACGTGGTGGCTCCAAAGGGACTTCTGAGCGTAAACCAAGACGATCAGGTGGTAAGAGTGCTGGAAAGGTAGCTGCTAGGAAGGGAAATGCTACAAAAGAAACAACACCTGCAAGGCAATCAGAAAGAAGTGATAGAACAAGCAATGTGTCACCCAGATCAGCTGGAACTGGTCAGCTTGTGCAATCCAGTGAGATGCAGCACCAGGGACACACAGAAGGCGGTAATATAAAACAATTTGGTGTTATTTCTACTTCAGTATCTAGTCTGCCAGGCTTGAACACATCACCTTCTTCGTATGCAGTTTTTCATCAGCCTTTTATGGATTTGCAGCAAGTTCAGTTACGAGCTCAGATTTTTGTGTATGGAGCTTTGATGTAAGACTTGTAACTTCCATTTTGTCTTTAGCATGTAATAAGATTTTTGTTCATGTGCTTTGATATCATTGTCAAACTCGATTGTCTTTGGTATTGCATTTTCATGTTTTACTTCTGATCATTTGAGCACATTTATCTAATTGTTTTTAACAATGTTGCTGCAGACAAGGAACAGTACCTGATGAGGCATATATGATAGCGGCATTTGGAGGTCTTGGTTGGGTTTCTTATCTCTATAGATGTTATCTCTGGGACCTTTTATGCAGATATATTCACTATTTTGGTTGTCTGCAGATGGTGGAAGAACCATTTGGGAGAATGCCTGGCGAGCAGGTATAGAGAGGGTACATGGTCAAAAATCGCTTCTTGTTAGCCCAGAAACTCCGGTGCTGTCTTATATAGGTATCATTCCTGGTCTTAAGTTGTTGAAATAGTTACTTCTGATTCTGTTGTCTATTAACTTTATGCCTTGGTTGAGTTGCGCAGGTGCTAAAACTTCTGATCAACCAATCAAACAAAATCCACCTCAGAGTAAGGTTACATCCTCACCTGCTAGTTGGTCTACCGGAAAGGGTACTCCAACTACGTCAATTGTAAAGCCAATGATGCCTCTTTCATCTCCACTATGGAGTATTCGTACACCTTCCGTTGATGCCCTTCAACCAACTGGCCTTCCAAGAGGTGCAGTTATGGATTATCAGCTGGCAATTTCTCCATTACATCCTCCGCCTACAAGGAATTTTATTGGACACAATCCTTCTTGGATGCCCCAATCCCCTTTTCGTGGTCCCTGGACTCCACAGACTTCTGCATTTGATGGCAATACTTGTTATCCTGTTCACTCCATCACGGAAGCAGTTAATTTGAATCCTGTAAAAGCATCTGTGCCTCAATCTTCTAGCGGGAAACAGGTTTCTTCAGTTCCTGTGGTCCAGGGTGGAAGTCCTGCTAATGTTTTTGCAGGGACTCCCCTGCTTGACACAAAAAAGACAGCATTAACACCTGGTCAGCATTCTGCTGATCCAAAGCCTAGAAAACGAAAAAAGTCTACAGTTTCTGAGGAGCCTGTGCAGGTTATACCTCATTTTCAATCAGAGTCCTCGTTGTCTACTGTTGTGGTTAGTCATGCCTCTACACCTGCTGCCATTACCATTCCTGCTGCCAGTATATCGAAGTCCTCCACTGATAAATTGGTGACATATTTCTCTAATCATCTCAAAAAGGGAGACCAAGAATCAGATCAGAGGGCTGGTCTGTCTGAAGAGACTCTTAGTAAACATGAGAATGCTCAGAAGCATGCAGAGGATGCTGCTGCTGCTGTTAGTCACTGTCAAGAAATATGGAATCAGTTGGACAAGCACAAAAATTCAGGGTTGGCACCAGATGTTGAAACTAAATTGACTTCCGCAGCTGCTGCAATAGCAGCAGCAGCTGCTGTTGCAAAGGCTGCAGCTGCAGCTGCCAATGTTGCCTCAAATGCTTCCATGCAAGCAAAACTGATAGCTGATGAAGCATTGGTTTCAAGTGGCTACAGAAATTCCATTCCCAATAATTCAATCTCTGATAGCTTGAAGAAGTTGAGCAAGGCTACTCCTGCATCCATCTTAAGGGGTGAGGATGCTACTATTAGTTCGAATTCTGTCATTGTTGTTGCTAGAGAAGCTGCTAGGAGGAGGTTGGAAGCAGCTTCAGCTGCCTCAAAGCAAGCTGAAAACATGGATGCCATTGTCAAAGCTGCTGAGTTGGCAGCTGAAGCTGTGTCACAAGCTGGAAAGATTGTTGCTATGGGGGAAACATTCTCATTGATCGAATTGGTAGGAGGTCCAGAGGCATACTGGAAAGTACCCCAAGCATCTCCTGAGCCGGATGGTGCTATTAGAGAACACATAAACATAGGTAGTAGTGTGAAAGCTCCTAGTTCATCAGTTGGGCATCTAAAAGAAGTTTCTGTGAACAAGAGGGAAAAGCAGAGTGATAACCATGGAAAGTCACCTACCCTTAGAGAGATGGCCAGGGAGTCTATGGAAGATCATTCTAGGTTGACATATTTGGCTCCTGTTGCGACTGGTGAGAAGGATAAAAAAGGGCAAAAGGGCCGCAAAGCTTCAGATGTTGCCAAAACTAAAGGGGTTGCTTCTGGATCTCAGATTGGGTTTGGATCACCTTTGATGACCACTGCACATGAAAAAGCAGGGGAAGGGGAAACTTCTAAAGATAATAATATAAGGGAAGGCTCACATGTTGAGGTTTGTGATTTCTACTAAAATGTGATTTGAGATTTTTAGTTGAAATACACTTGTATTTGATGGGAATTTGTCGAGATAGTATTGAGTTTGACATTTGTCCAGGTATTGCGAGATGGAAGCGGGTCAAGAGCAGCATGGTTCCTGGCAGATATACTGAAGTTGAAAGAGGGCAAAGCTTATGTGTGTTACAATGAACTTCGACAAGAGGGTGAGCAATCACATCTACCATAACTTATGTTTTGTTTGAATCAAGTGAGTGTTGATAACTATTAAAGCATATCTGTTGGTGTCCTTCAATTTTTATGTAATTCCTTGTTGATGTTTCTTTTTCTTAAATATTGCATGTTCATCTCTAGGCGGCTGAATCTTAAAATTTTCTTGTAAGATGTGTGCTTCTGTTGTGGGGAGATTTAAAATATGATTAAATGCACCAGAGTGAGGGTATATTTCCTTTGTACTTTCCTACATAACTTATGTGTTGAAACTTTTAGTTTCTTATGACAAAGCAATTTCTTTTGTAAGTCTTGTGACATGTGCATGTCATATAATAATTTCTTAATATCTTGAGTGCTTGTCTTACAGATGGTGATAGGCTAAAGGAATGGGTGAAACTTGAAGTTGAAGGTGATCGGGCACCCAGGATACGCTGTGCCCGTCCTATTACAGCCATGTCATTTGAAGGAACAAGGAAGAGACGCAGGGCAGCCTTGGGGGATTATAATTGGTCTGTTGGAGATAGGATTGATGCATGGATGCAAAATAGGTATGCATGCATTTTTTTTATTTATCCTCTCTATTTCTTGCAATCCATTGGACAGAAATGATATTGTTGGAGATTATATTTTTTTGATCGGAAGATTATAGTGATACTATAAAATCTATATGAGGAAGTAGATTGTTTATTTTTCCTAGCTGAACTAGCAACATGAGTGATTTGTCATATTGCCCAAAGCAAGTAGTGCTTGATGAATCTGTATGCGAAATTTAAATTGTCACTAACTGCACTAAAAATTATGTTGAAAAGTATCTGAAAAATTTTTATCAAAAAAAAAAGTATGTTAAAAATCGTTTCATGAATAGTGTTAGATAAATCATACAAGTCTACGTTATTTTCATTTGCATGTATGTTAACTGTGTAAAATCTCCTGGAAACCCATCAAATAGGTTGTGCTTGACTATGGACAAAAGTGATTATGAATATCAATAAAAATCTGTCCTGAAATCCATAAAAATATTTCGCTAAATATCAAGTTAATGACAGTACAACCTTTAGAATATCCATTATGATGTTTTGGGGAACCCTATGATTTGTCATTTTCTAATCTGTCCATGCTATGTATTTCCCATCCATCATGTATTTCCTTCTTCCGTTAAGAGAGGAAGGAGAGTTTCAACCGTATCAAGTTGTTTCAATTTTAATTATGAAGGAATGAACTGATGTTTGAAATTATAATAAAATAATGTTTGTTTACTTGTCTTTCAGCTGGTGGGAGGGAGTTATCACTGAGAAGAGCAAGAAAGATGAAACTTCTTTTACTGTCCATTTTCCTGGTATGTATGACCAAACACAACATTTATTAAGAAGATTGAATCTGCCCAGTAGTAAAGTCTATACAGCCTGTACTCTGTTCATTTTATTATTTTTATTGCAGCACAAGGAGAAACTTCTGTTGTCAAAGCATGGCTTCTTCGTCCTTCTTTGATGTGGAAGAAAGGTAGTTGGGTTGAATGGTCCAGTTTTGATAATAATGAGTCTTCCCATGAGGTGATATGTTGGCTTAAACTTGTGGTTGATGCTTCTCTCATTTTCTTAAATTGCTTCTTGGTGCTAATTCTTTGATCTATTTTTCAGGGTGATACCCCACAGGAAAAACGACAAAGGTTAAGCAGTCCTGCAGTTGAGGCCAAAGGGAAAGATAAGCTTTCAAAAAATGTTGACATTAAGGAATCTGGGCAACCTGAAGACACGAGATTGCTGGATTTATCTGCAAGTGAAGGAACATTTAATATTGGTAAAAGCACCAGAGATGAGAGTAAGCCTGATTCACTCAGAATGATACGTACTGGTTTAAAGAAGAAAGGGTCAGGAGTGGTTTTTGGTGTTCCTAAGCCTGGAAAGAAGCAAAAGTTTATGGAAGTGAGCAAACATTATGTTGCTGATCAGAGTAGCAAGACTCATGAAACTAGTGATTCAGCTAAGTTTACAAAATATCTAATGCCTCGAGGATCTGAACCCCATGGAACTAAAAGTAAAATTGAACCAAAGGAAAAACGAATGGCTGTATCCAAGACCAAGATTCTCAAGCCTGGAAAACTGCCTAGTGTTTCTAATAGAAGTATTCCTCAGATGGACGACTTATCAAACACTATGGTTTCTGAACCTGATAGTGCTGGGGCCTCAGATGTGTCCAAATTGGAGGGTTCTATAAGCCATGCTGAGAATATATCAGGAAAGCCAAACATGATGGAGTTTAAATCATTTTCATCTTCGGATGGGGCAGCAGAGGGCCCAGTCTTATTTTCTTCTATGGCCCTCTCATTGGATGCACCCCCCAAGAAAGCTTCTGCATCAAATGCTAAATCTGAAAGGATTAATAAAGGGAAACTTGCACCAGTTTCTGGGAAGTTGGCAAAATTTGAGGAAAAAGCCTTCAATCACGATTCAACAAAAACAAGCTCTGATGTTGTTGAGCCTCGTAGATCTAATCGCAGGATCCAGCCAACCTCGAGAGTAAGTTCAAAGATATGATCATTTATCTAAGTTATGATCACCATACTGCAGTATCAAAATTTTTAGATCTTGGGATCAAATTCATATGCATACTACTCTTTTTGTGGAATTGTAATCGGAAATATCCTTGCTTGTACATCATTTGCCCATGTGAACTTTTGTGTGTTGCAAACTACTTTGCTTGCAAACCGGTGATATTTTATGTGCAATACTCCTGGTTTCAGACTCAGAGGGAACAAGCCGGGAAGTAGAGGTTTGCTTGGAATATAGAAACATTTCCTTTGTCGGGTAATAGGGAAATGAACTTGACAGTTGGCAAAGCTGTTGAATTCCTATTCTACTTACCAATATTAGGGTGTAGAGACATCACAAGCAGCGCCTTTGCCATAATTCTATTTTTTTTTGTCATAACCAAGGAAACCTACATAGAGTTAAGACATTTGACATATCTAGTTAGACAAATATATGTCAAAAATATAAATTCGTTTCTGGGTTTTACACTACGTTGATAGGGTATTTTGGTGGTGGTTTCAAACCACGTACAAGATTTTGTTGAATGACAGTAGGAACTTGAAGAGTTTGGTTGCTATTTTTGCTTCTTTGAGGAGTTTACTTACGTATGGTGCAGGCTGCATTAAACAAGGATATGCCACTCTTTATATTCACTTTCATGCATTTATTTTTATGGTTTGTACTTATCCGGTTATGTATCATTCTTATTGCCCACAGCTTTTGGAAGGGATACAAAGCTCATTGACGATCTCGAAAATTCCTTCTGTTTCACATGACAAAAGTCACAAAAGCCAAAGCAAAAGTACCAGAGGTGAATGGTAAGTTCGTGAATCAATATTGCTGTCATTTTAGCTTCCTTTGTTTTCAAATATGCAATATAACTGCCTGGAAAATAACAGGAAATAACCAAGGTTGATAGCAGCTAAAGGAATCCAGCCTTGAAGAAATTCAGTGTAGCTTGTGTAAATTATCAGATGATAGCGGAGAAAGCTTGGAATGAAAGTTGCTTCTTTGGCTTTTTGATGTAGCTGTAGATACTGTTTTTTGAGTTTTATTTAGAATTATTATGATCTGATATGTCTAGGCCATGCTCTTCTAGCGTTTGTATATGGAACGCCCCACAAGTAGTTAGGTTTGATATTCACAGAGCAGCCGTTGCGAAGCGATATCAGCCCATGTATCTCTGTTGCATCTAACTGCTCATCTGCTTATTCAGCCTTATTTTATCTGTGCGTGGACATATCAATTGGGGTTTCTTCTAGTTCTGTGTTGCTCCTAAAGGATTCGTAAAAGATCGGGATTCAAACCGTTATTCTTATGCTTTGTTTATCATCAGCTTTTACGTGTGTTAAAAATCCATGGAAGTCATATTTGTTCGAATGCAAAATAATTGAAAAACGTGGTCACCGTAAACTTGAAATGATCTCGACTGTTGTAGAGGTTCGAACTTGGGGATTGGGATAGAGTTGAAAAAAAAATGAGTTAGTGGAATCGACTACTTTTATTTTATAATTTGAATTTTATATAAATTGAGTTAATGAAATTTAACCCGAGTCAAGTTATTTAAATTTTTGTTTAAATTTAATTATAAATATTTATAATATTATTATATTAATTAATTCTAATTTGAATGAATTTTATATTCGTATATGATATGTATATATGTTCTTATTTTTCTTGTATGATATATATATTGAGAGAGGTAATTCAAAATTAAAAATAATCTATTAATTATTAAAATATTTGAATTTGAATCATATTTTATAGTTTAATTTTTTTAATCGAATTTATAAAGTTATAAATCAAGTCATTGAGTTGAATGGAAAAAATCAATTGTTTAACTTGAATTTTGTTCACCTTACTCATCGCTTACGTTCCCTGCACTGTGACAAATCTATTCGTCACCAATTGTGATAAAGAGAGAGCAAGTAAGGTAATGAGGTTCTGGAGCCATTTACAACGCTGAAGATCGTTGATTTGAATGGAATAACCGGCCGACTTTATTCATGTGCAAAGCATAAAACGGTGCAGCAAAGGTTCACCAGAATCATGATTGTAGAGCACTTGCAATAAATGGTTGTAATTAATTGTCCAAAAAAAAAAGGAATAAAATATGATCCATCAAACAAAACAATCTCTAGAATCGAACTTTGATAAATAGTCCATAAATAGTTGAAATAGATACCTATTTACCTAGCAAACAGAACAGTCGAAAGTTCTTAAACATGGTTCTCCCTGTACAATTCTTTCCTGCTATATGCTACCGGTAAAACGGGAAGGAACATCCCTGTACTGTGCTTTGGCTCAAAACCAAATGGCATGTGCTGTCAAATTTTCCGCCAGACATCACAACCAAATTCTAGTCATCAAGTCCAACATGCTGCATCCTTCTTTCCCCTGATGAAGGAAACACATTTTTCAACCTCCTTGGCTCCTAAAATTGGCTCTTCTTCCTTGCCTCTCTCCCTTGCTCCTTGATTTCCTCTTGTTCCGGCTCGGGATCTCCACTCTTTTTGCAGATGCAAGAATATGGAAATTCATGAAATTCACCACGTCCGGGTCTCATCTCGTCTGGCTCTCCCATGAATCCTCTTTGAACTGCCTTAACTTTTCTGGCAAAGGTGTCCCAATCCATTTGATCCCTTTCCCTCAACAAAGAGCTCAGCCTCTTGGCGTTTGGTCTTATAGTCCTTTCGTGCCCAATGTACCTCCTTCGAATCCAAACAAGAAATCATGGAAGAATGAAGAGAAATAACACTATCCTAAATATGCATAAATGCTGAACAAGATCAAATCTACAGTAATCAGTTTGATACCAAACTTTCAACTGAAGATGTTCATAAAAGTTCATACTTTACATATTTTCAGATGTAACATTTTGAAATCTAAGCTAATACACGGCCCACCAAGGTGGTAAAGCCTCACATTATGTTACAGGTAGGTAATTAAGACATGGTGATGTTAAGAGCATTATTCTGCTTGTGGTTGATATCTTTAGAGCCTGGTCCAAATTTCACATCTTTAAATTAATTCAACAGATAAATTTCTAGATAAACATAAAAGTCAGCATGTATATGCAAGACATGTGACTACCAGAAAAGAAAAGGGAGCATGATACAAGAAATAAGTGGATTTCTCACCTTCGACCTGCCAGAATCCTTGCCATATTTCCATTATTATTGGTGACAAAAACATCACTTTCATCACAAACAATGTAGTCAATGGCAGCAAGGCGAGAAGAGTAAGGAAGAAAAGGTTTCAGCTCTTCATTGGCAAGCCTCTCTTTTGTATAGAAGTTTGGAAAGAGATCTCTTAATGGTTGCAGTGTATCTTCTCCACCATATATTTCTCCCGAGGCAACATAGATGTATGTGTCATTTGCAAAACCAAGTGCCCGCAGCATCAATCCTACTTCATGAGGAGTAAGTGGACATTTACCTCGACTTCTCTCTCCATCAGCATCTAAATCCTGCACGAAAACAAAGATGAGTGCAATTTTACTGGATAAAAGCAGCATGCGGGGGGAAACGGGTATTCTTTCTGAAAACGAGTATTATGGTGTATATTAAAGAGAGAACTGCTCAGTCATAAAAGATGGCATCTAACTGGTAATGTTTCCCATCGTTTTCGTATCTCTCCAAGCTCGTATCTCTCCTTGTCCCCTCCACCAAAATAACAACCAGAAAATGCTAGCATATCAGGTTCAAATCTGTAATGAAGAAAAGGTTGAATAATATATAAGAAAAACAGATCTTAGAATTTAGAATCTTACATGCAGATGTTTCTGTTTTCATATGCGAATGAGCCAATGGGCTGTTATTGAACACACATGCACTAAGTTGCCATAGTTGTTGGGTATAAAGTCGAACATAACAGGAAAATGAATATATAAACTCACTGAAGTTAAGATTTATTTCCAAAATTTTGAGGAATGGGCACTTAAGGGAAAGGCATTCTACAATGTCACTAACTTATCTGGTTTAAATAATTTGAAATTGACCACCACCTGAATGTGAAGGGACTTAAAATAAGTCTAATCATGCCAATTCCAAAGTATGCAGCGTAAAATTGCGATTATGGCAACAAGAATTACTGAAAAAACCCAATTTCAAGATGCATATCTCAATATATGTTTTAAAGTTCCTTCTTATATGCATATAACTTCCGAAAGTCAAATTCTAGCTATCTAGAATAAGGAACAAACCTCAAATGGACTGCTATAAAACGTTTTGCCATCTCACGCATTCTCGTGACAAGTTTCTGTCCAAGTTCTTGAATAGGTTTTGTAAATCTTAAAGCATGAAAATTAGCCCGGCAACGTAATTTTTGTAGCTCTTCATCGATGTCATTGGCCAGTCTGTAATCAAACTTTGTCAGTTGCAGGACCTACAAAATTTTCAGTGTGTTAACGGCTGCAGTCCCACATGAGACGCATAATATCCTAGAAAATGTATAATTTAAAATATTCTAGTAACATGGTGCTTTAATTGGAAAGATACAAAGAAGATAAAAGGATAGGATGTTGTCAAAAACTCTCGCCTTTGAACCACAAAACCAGGAGGGGGACAGAGAGAGGTGAAAAGAAGAGAGGAAATTTACAACTTATAGATTCTCTTCTAAACTTCCAGAAGTGGAGAATAAAACATAGAGGAAAAACTACTGTAATTGTAGCATTCTTATTTTCTTTAATTACTATTTCTTTCCATCACAGACACCTAAAAGGAATTGAAGTTTATAACTTCCATCCTCTCTCTTCTTGTTTAATTTTCATCTTATTGACCCAAAAACAATGGCAGTCTTGATATTTTGAAGCATTGAATGCAATTAATTTCACAAAAGAACACAATATATAATTCATGGAATATAGAAGCATCAGGAAGTTAAATTATGTAGATTATATCTACGATCAGCCTAAATATCATTAGTGATAGAGTATCTGAAAGTAGTCTTACATGTCTTCTTTTAAGTAAAGGCAGAACTTGGTCTAGATAATATTCTGGGGGGGATTTCCTTGGGACACGCATACTATATGGATTTTTTTCCATTGATCGCATGAATTTATCAGGAACTCTTTTTACAACAGTAACATCTTTTACGAGGTAAGAAATGAACCAGTTGACATCAAATATGTTGGCAAAGTCACTGCATTTAGAAGAAGTAAAGAAGAAGAAAAATATTAACGATAAAACAGAGGAATAAGATATTAAGCATAAGTGCAGAACTTCTAAATAAGTTGATTCAACTTACCTATTATCCTTCCAATAGGAGTTATGATCTAACTCAGGTACCACTAAAGTTGCATTCAGAATTCGTGCAACAACTACAGCATCTGATATCTGTGTGGCATAAGCAAAATATGAATTCTAAACAAATTGTACTCTCCAAGGTCAGTGAGGATAATAAATTCAGTAGGCAGCCTAAATCTCCGAGGCACACTGAATCTTAATTTATTCAAATAAACTAAAGCAAAACTTATCGGTTCAAATAATACATAGTGAAGGAGTAACAATACTCTTTACACACAGATAAGCTAGATATGTCATTTTTTTTTTATAGGAATTGAAGGCCTCATTAAAAACCTCCTTCTTGATTAGAGAGACTTAAAGAGAAGCTCCTTAATCAGCGGAAGGAGGAAAAGAGTGCCTTAGGATTTCATTGAACATAAAAACACCAAAATACATCCAGATATCGACCCCGTACATAAAACAAAACACCATAAAACAATCAAAAAACACCCCCATAGCAGCAACAGTAGCTCAACCTAATATCAACCACAACAGCCTCTAAAGGACTGACCCAACTAAAAGTCTAACTCTTGACTCGGAGAGCACCAGAAAACATAACACCTAAAAAAGAGAGATATGTCATTGAAGCAATTAAAAGATCTTCCATTAGGATATTTACCCACAAGTATAGCATAATGTATAAATAGTTCCACTTACTCCTGTTCTTTGTTGATTCAGTCCTCCACTTGCAGCAATAAGCAAGTAACCATTCGATGATCGTTCACGTACAGCATCTAAATATCAAATATTAATATAAATGATGAATCAATGAGCTTAAGAGACTGGTTTAGTAATATTTAAATAGAACAGTATCATAAAGATTGTTTATAAGAGGTGAAAACAGAAGATAAAAGGCACTAGGTATTAGACTCATTTTACTGGAAACCTATGCTAAAAAGAAAAGGAAAAAACGTATCAGAAAATTGCTCAATATGAGTTAATTCTATCTGATTCCACTAAAGAAAGAAATCTTCAGTAATTTAGTTTCATTCTTCAAAGTTAAAGACTAATATTATGAGCTAAGACATG